GACCGTATAGAAGAGTCGTCGTGACATTTCCTAACGCAATGATCGATGACACTCGTCATCTGCGAAAAATTGCTCCCACACGAAACCAATAAAGACATATTCCTCCATGTTGAGACTTCGCTATCTCGGCTTTAATTTTATCGCCATTCTTGTTGCCATGCAGTGAAGCCACCTTCCAGTTATCTTTTTCTACGCGATTAGTTAAATAAAGAAACCCCGTTGAATGAAAAAAAAAATGCTATACCATTACATTAAAGAAAAAAAAATCACCGTGAGCATATCCACGGAGTGAATTATTATGAGTGGGGTGAAGCGCTGGAGGGTTTCATCGATAAACCGTGAACCATCAGCGGATACCACCCACTACATCATGAAAGACGTGACAAACGCTGTATATGTTTATACGATAAATTTTATTATTCGTAAGTGGTAGCTATAGGTCGCTTCTGTTCCCCCTTCATTATAACGGCTTTATGGTCGGGTGGAGTGGTGGATCGGTGATGGGGCGTAGTGGGATGTTTGCAAGGACGAAGTAGTGGGCAGTTTGCAAAGGTGGAATTATAACTGGTCAAGTACAAACAAGGTATGGACACAGTGGGGCAATCTATGGTTCTTTAACGCGCACCTGGATACAAGTACACGACCTTCTTAAGAAGGTCGTGTCTTAAGAAGGTCGTGTAAGAAGGTCGATGGTGACCGCATTAAGGTACTGCTTTTTTTTTGTTAGCACCACCACAACTTCAGTCGCCCATTCGTTTTTCCCACAGCGTTCTAGTTCCAATGCTGCTCTATTCACGATAACCTAGGCCAGCCCAGTCGTCAGCATGGTCAGTTGTCGTCTGCTCGATGGGACCGTGCGGCATTGCAACACTGGACACTCGAGAATAACGTGCTCGCTATTCACAGTTTTCACGCCTGCATTCATTTTGGAGCCGACACCGTTTATACTCGCACCAAACTTGGTCTGCCGCACGTGCGTTCATTGGGGAAACGGGTCAGACCACAGTCAGTGCGATATAATTCCGTATGCACGTCGGCGGTAGATCACGACCAACGAAAACGTGCAGGCAGAAGTTTGGCCTACGATCACTTACAAAGTAAATAAATAAATAATAAATAAAAGAACACGTCTTTCTCGTGTTGGCTTGAAGTGCTTCCTCGTGTAACTATCTCATTTTAATGATCGAGAAGTACTTTACTATTATGACTCGAAAGTAGGCATACGAAATCCCGTGGACTTATTCGTTAACAGCCAGAAAATTAACCAAACCGAATTGCGAAAGCTGCATGCACCTACGAAACATGCATATCCTCAAAACGTCCTCGAGTGTATTTTTCTGTTAGTTTAATATTTCTGAGGACATGACTGTTACAAGGCGCGTTTGCAGCGCAGAATATTCGGCTTTTTTTTTTCTCAGTGCAACGATGACACTTTTGCTTGACTGTCGAACCCGTACGTTAAAACTTGTGGCACCTGTTCGTGAAATTGAAAGTTTCTCTAGCGCGTCGCTTGGGCCTGGTTAACACGCTCGTTCTCTGTCACCACACGGTGTTGTCGAGTTTTCGACTTTTCACAGAATCCCCTTAAGGTATTAATAGCTATTTAAAAATCATCTTTTCTCTGGTCTTTCACAGTTGGTCATTACCCTATATAGATGTTTGGAAACTATAGCGCTGCACCAAATGAATTATGATGATATTGATTGGTTGTGTGCTGTTTTTCATACGAATAAAGAGGCATGTCAGAATGTTTTTTGTTCTTTGTCCCTTTGGGATTTAACAAAAAACAAAAGGTCACACAACTTACCAACTCTTTCGCGACCGTATAGAAGAGTCGTCACGTCATTTCCTGTAACACAATGACCGATGACACTCGTCATCTGCAAAAATTGGTCCCTCGCGAAACCATCAAAGACATATTCCTCCATGTTGAGACTTCTCTATCTCGGCTTTAATTTTATCGCCATTTTTGTTGCCATGCAGTGAAGCGCAGTGAAGATAACTATCTTTTTCTACGCGATTAGTTAAACAAAAAAACCCCGTTGAATGAAAAAAAAATATGCTATATCATTCCATTAAAGAAAAAAAAATCACCGTGAGCATATCTACGGAGTGAATGATTATGAGTGGGGTGAAGCGCTGGAGGGTTTCATCGATAAACCGTGAACCATCAGTGGATACCACCCACTACATCATGAAAGACGTGATAAACGCCGTATATGTTTATACGAGAAATTGTATTATTCGTAAGTGGTAGCTATAGGTCGCTTCTGTTCCCCCTTCATTATAACGGCTTTATGGTCGGCGAAGTGGTGGATCGGTGATGGGGCGTAGTGGGATGTTTGCAAGGACGAAGTGCAGTTTGCTAAGGTGGAACTATAACTGGTCAAGTACAAACAAGGTATGGACACAGTGGGGCAATCTATGGTTCTTTAACGCGCACATAGATACAAGTACACGACCCTATTGCATTTCATAATGGCTACTTCTCAGCAGCATTTGCATTGTGGTAGGTGAAGTGGTGAATCGGTGATGAGCTGTAGGGGGATGTTTGCAAGGATGACTATAGTGGGCAGTTGGCAGAGGTGGAACTATATGCGGTCACGTACATACATACAAGGGATGAACAGACCCACGTCTTTAGAAGCTTCGCCCCTACAAAAAGACTACGAATAGATCTAGAGAAAAATTGGCCATTTTAGCAAGATTTTTTTTTTCGGTTGCAAAAGCAGTTGTGAACGGCTGTGTGTCTCGGCACCGTCAACAAATTCTTCTGCAAGGTGCATATGGTGCCCTTACGGCTAATCATCGATGCGCCTTATAATTTGTCACTAATGCTATTTAGCATTAGTTAGGAGGTATTCAAGCGGTGTCATGCTGAAGAGAAGCTAGTGAGGTTGTCGCCGTATACCTACGCTCATTGAACTATGTACCTGATTTTAAGCTGCGCGATATTTCTTCTGTTAACACATGTGCTTTAGCGCCATTGTTTGTGTAATTTAGAGATATTATTGGGTATTTATCACCGAAATAAACACCCGATTTCTAGCTTAACCATTGTTCTTTTTTGAAAATGTTTGAAAACAGTTAGGTATTTCAACTGCCCCTGTAAGTAACTGACACCCGCATCACAGTTGCTACCTTTCCTCTGCCATGCGCACTAGAGTTACTGTTTAGGCTCCTAAAAGAAGCATATACTGTAATAGGCTTGCGCAAGGTTCCCCTCCGGGGGGGGGGGGGGGATGTTAATTGCAGCGCCCCTGTGTAGTATGGTGCTGACATTGCGTCCTTCTCCCCCGGGTCGTAGCGCCCTCCTCCCCCCTTTACCACACCCTATTAAGGGAAAGTGTGGGGCGGTGCATAGACGAGTGTGTCGCTGCTTTTGAAGTCAAAGAAAGGGGCTTTAATTCGATGCAGTGCTATGAAAGCCTATGCCTCAGCTTCTAGTAGCCGTGGCTTAGATCATGGCCGAGTACAACTGCTGTACACTGAAATAAAATGCCCAACTATTGTCACTGTACGCCAAACAAAGGCCAAACCAACCGATAAACTGATGCATGCGCTTTTTCAAACTGTTCAAATCACCCGCCTATGCAGAGCCACGCATGCGCGAGCTCGAAAACAAGAAGCCTCCGGCCTGGCCCGCCGTGCGTGCGCACGTGCGGTCGTTCCCCGTTCGTGCTACGCCGCATTTGCTCAAAACTAATGCGGCCCGGTGTTTATGAAGCCTTCTAAAAGCCGCAGTGTTTCGAGGTACCGACCGTATACAAGCTGCGAGCTGCCTTTCTTCTGAATATTCACGAGATGTCTCGCTTCGCGGTAAGTGTGCTTCTCCTTGCATGCTACGTTACCCAAAGAACGTCGCAACGTTAAATTTCGCTCTACCACATGTGGACAGCGTGAAAATAGCTGCTCATTTCGCGTAGGGGCAGCTGCTTGCCGTGCCGTGTGTTCTAATTGCTCTGCTCGTGCTGGTAGCCTTGCATGCCGAGGCGGGCAATCTGAACAGAGTTGACATCACGCAAGAGCAGTGGTTTAAGGTTAGGAAGGGTGGTCACTAGTGCGTAAGTACTACTAGTACAGCCACTAGTACGCTTTCAAAATGAGTGAACTTGTTACGGGCGCATGGTGCAAAAGAACAGCAAAAGCGTGCGCATTCGGTCTGGTTGCTTAATACTCGCCAGGCAAAAGAAGACAATTGCTCGTACATGATGGGTACATATGCGCAGCAGAACGTGTTTTGTAGTTAGACTAGAACGATATCATTTAAAAAGTGACAGATGACTGACACATGTGAACATGAAAAAGCCCCTGAAGTAAGACACTGGCCTTCTTCGAGTTAATTCAACACAATGGTGCATGTATGAACAAAGCTTAAAGTGAAAGGGAGAACAAGCCTTTTCCTTTTTTGCTTTTTAAGGAGAAGTTCGGTCTCCTCCGGCCGGTCAACTGGAGCACAGCGGCACCAAGTTGACAAGCGTTAGACTTGATTTTTTTCAGCAGTGGTGCTTTATGGATGTAAATTATAAGTGTACAGTTTTGTGAGACGAGCTTTCTCAATCTCTTAGGACATTACCTTTTGTTGTTTAGTTTATATAATTGTTTAGTCACCATTTATTCCCGAGTTATCTGTACCTTATTTCTTTGATTTATTGTTAGAAGTAACAAGCAAATGTTGTTCCTCCTAATGGTTTCCTTTATTCATTGACATTGTTTAACTTCACGAACCTAATGCACGAGTGATTGTTATTAAGAGCACCTTTAAGTCTGAGTAGACTACAGTATGAACTTGAGCTAGTGCTGATTTGAGTGTGCGTGGGCACGTGCGAAGGGTTGCAAGCATGAATGCAGTTGTAAGTGTGAGGGAGTTTGGAAGCAAGTATTGATGCTCCATGAGAATCGACGTAGGTGCTTGTGTGAAATTAGCTCGGAAAAAAAAAAGGTGAGGGAGTGTAATTGCTGATAGGTAAGAGAAAGTGCATGGTTTGCTTCAGCACAAGATCAAGTCGATGGCTGCCGTTGTGGGTGGGGCAATCAGTGAGCTTTGTGGGCGTTGCCACAGTGTGCGGGCAGGCTGACTTCTACCAGCGCTTCTTGATGCCGGCCGTGCATGCTGTGCTGGACCCAGAGCAAGCACACCGGCTGGCTGTCCAGGTGGCACGGCTACGACTGCTCCGCAAACAGCGCCAGCCTGACCAGGATGTTTTGGTGAGTGGGTATTATTACCACACCGTTTCAGGTGTTTAAGCATTGCCATTTTTTGTGCGTTTTGGTAAACAAAACTCGAAAGCATATTTAGCGCTAACAGATAGGGCTGTAAGAGAGACAGCAACGTAAGAAAGATGTAAGAAAGACGTCTCTCTTACGTCCCTGTCTGTTAACGTCCATATGTTTTCGAGTTACGAGTGTTTCAGGTGTTTGCTATGATGAAAGTTTTGTAAGAGACCCTCCTTTTCATTAGCTCTCCATATGTCACATGCTATTCTTCTTTATAATCTTTGTAAGCATTCTCAATCACATTATAGATTGCCAGGTTGGATGAGCCTGTATTGGCAGTATTGTCTCAGAGTTGTAATTATGAAAAAGGCAACGCTCAGATTGGTAAATATAGAATTCTAGCTCTTTATTGGGCAAACTTGTGCCAAGGAGATTGAGTAACACTCACTGTAGAAGTGAGTAACAATGGTAACGGTGAGTACAGTCATTGATCATTGCATGACCTGTTTGTCAATGGAATGCGTAGTCTTTTATTCATGAATGGTAGAAAACTCCAGCATTGTTACAAGGGCTCCCTTTAGCTACAAAAGTATTTCTGTCATGTATTCAGTTTTATTAGAATAGTCTGAAACAGTTACGAAATTTCTCAATCATAGTGGCCCAGCCTGCACTGAACGTTAGCAACGTTTTTTAACAGAAAAGTGTTTTATGCCGGGTCCAACAAGACCTCACTGGCATCTTTTACGGCGCGAAAGTGACATGACGAAATGCATGTGAACAGATGACAGAGAGGAACAAGAAAAAAATGTTTAAAGCACGCTAATGGTTGGGGATTTCAACTCATAACCAGCGCTTGTCCAGTGCACTCTGTGTTCCTTTCATCTTTGTCTGTAGTGCTTCGTTAATCATGCAACTCATAACCTCTTTGTCAGTGATAAAAGGTGCTGACACTCATACACGATGCTTCACAAACACACCTTATTTGTCTTGTACCTTCTCCATCTCTCGGTGCTCTGGGTTCGTGGGGTACCACCATGCTCCTAGACGGAGCAGGGTAGTAAAGTACTGCGTCATAATACTAATGAGCACTGACAGACACTAGTTTGGTAGTCTCATCATAGTGGAGGCTATCGGTGCTAATATTGAACTGTGTGGTCATTGATCACAACATTGATTGAACTTTATCATCATTGATTGCAATCACCGCATATGCATTGTGTATGAGGTGATTCACTTTAGCTTGCTGACGATTCTGTTACATGCTTGGTCTTTTGCGTTGTGCTAGGGTATCATCCCTAATCACCGGCGTAGTGCAACTTCCATGTGCACTGATGCTGTCACTCTACCCCCGGCTGCTTCGAGTGCAATCCAGTCAACTAAAAAAACTGCTGCATTAAGCATCAGAGAAAAGCAATGACATCAAAGGGTGAATGTCATGCATATGAACGTTATGCATCTGTATGTTTTGGTGTAGCAAGAGACAGGTCCGTAGGAAGCAGAACGTCATCATGTGTTCGGACAATGAACTCGGCCTCTTGCATTTCTGAAGTGCTGTGCGTTAGTGTTTACACATGCAGAGATGTAAGTTACCCAACTACCGGGAAACGCACAAATTGTTGTTTCTTTCCTCAAATAATGTTTTGAATGAGGGAACACTGAGCTCTGGCATTTATTATATGCACTTGTTAGTGCCATTCTTGCTTGAAATTTACCATATGCTGTGCCCAGGTACATGTTACTAATTCAGCCACCGCATTGGTTTAATCATGATCATAGACGATAGTTGTCGGGATGATGGAGGTGCACCATCAGGCAATAATGTGTATGCACCTGCATAATGCATTTATATAGCCACCACTAAATGCCAACACACATTATGCGAGCTGCAATATACCAACAGCTAACTATATCTCTGAAGACACATTTCACCTTTCTGTTACACCGATTCTTGTGATGGATAGGTAAACCATGTTTTATTCTTTCATTGTTCTTGTGGGTAAATTCCCATCACATAACAATGATGCATATAGCAATGCATGACAATGCATAACAATGCATAACAATGCATGCGTATAGCAATATGAGATACTAACTTGATTTAAGAAGGGCTAGTTGTGGCCCAACGAAATCAGTATTGTTTCCCAGCAATATTCAATTATTTGCAGACAAGACAGGGGCAGATAAACCTGGAAGTAATCTTATCAGCATGCTGATAAGGAAGCCTGTCCTGGAAGCCTTGTTGTAGAAACATTGGGCCTCTATGTTTTCATTTTATCTAATCACTTGCATTGCATGCTACTGGATACATTCTTCTAAGATTAATGATTACTTGTGTTTTAGTTGATGTTATCTGATGTTGCAGCGCACAGAGCTGTTTGGCTTGCATTTCCCCAATGCTGTTGGTTTGGCAGCTGGCTTTGACAAGCATGGCGAAGGTGTGCCTGGTGCCCATGACTGGGGCTTTGGCTTTGTGGAGGTTGGCTCAGTGACACCACTTCCGCAGCCCGGAAACCGCCGGCCACGTGTGTTTCGGCTCACTGAAGACCTGGCCGTGGTCAACAGGTTTGTCACCCAAAGCTCTGCTGGGAGCTTTACATTTCAAAATGGCATTTCAGTTCCGAACCTGAAGTGAAGGAAGCATACTGTTACAAGAGCAGCATCATCTTTTGTGGGCACACATCAGTAGCATTGTAATCATCATCAGCACCTTCAGCCACTTTCAATGAATAAACTTTATGAAAATGTGGGCCAATTATTTCATGTTCAGATGCGAGAAGAATGACCTCATTTTTTCCACTATTTCTGTCCTTTATCTCTACTTTTGTTCCACCAATACTCTAACCATCTCTTACTTGCTTCTATAGCGGACGTGTTCACATTGCCATGCTTTCCCCTGAACCCCAAGGCCTCAATTAGGCTCGTACCAACGGGGATAGCTCGCTGGATATTGCAACAATAAATTGGAATATGTTCCATCACTTCTTTAGCACCCCATTAGCTTGTACATTGTTCTTCTTTATTGAATCTGGATTTATGAGCACTTATTTTAAGGCAACCCGACCTCACTTTGCACAGTAAAGCGTTTTCCCTTGAGTCATCATAAAACCTCTCCCTCCTTATTTCATTTTCGCCCTTTCAGTGGTTACTGAGAACCAGCTTCTTTTCCATCGGTGTTAATCAATAAATTCTCTCTGCTTCTCTGACATTTTGCTTAATGCTCCTTGTTACCATATCGTCCATACTGCCAGCTGTATATTTGCTGCTAAGCCTTCCAGTTCTTTTATAAAATTGTGTGGAGCAGGTTGAGTGGGTTTTTGGCTAGTTCCCTGGGTAGCAGGCTGCCCTGGTTGTCCATTCCCAAGGCCAGCAGTGCACATTACAACAAGTTTTATGCTAGGAAGTTTTCAGTTTGCTTGTGCGTGCTTTAGTGCATGAATGGAGAACCCAATCATGTTGATGCAAGGTGTGGGAGTGGGCTAGTTGGTATTCTATAATTTTACAGTTCTAGCTCAAAAATTATGCATGGCAGGCTAAGAAATGACAAGGACAAGGGCTGAATTCAGACTATAATTTCTTAAAGCAAGCTGCCAACATATATACGGTAGACTCATGATAATTCAAACTCTGATTCAAATCCTTACTTTTGGTTAATTCAAACAAAGTTATATTTTTTGGTTGGCCCTCTTTTCTTTCAATGTACTTAAAAGCCTCTTAATTCAAACTTCATCATTCAGTCAAGTCATACTTTTTGCTATTTCATACCAGAAAATATCTGCTGCTTTCCCACTACTGTTTAAAAATTTGCATGTTTATAGTATAATCCTCACAGTCTAAAAAGGAAAAATAAGCACTTCAGGCCTTCAAGGAAAAAGGCTTTGCTAGTAAGCAAGTTCTTGAAACAAAGCACACGCATGGTAAACCGTGATGCTTCTCAACTGGTATTCATACCTATAGCAAAGAAGCAGTTGGCAATTCATGAATTTCGTAAAAGGTCTGATCAGCAGTAAATGGCCAATAAACTTGTGAACCTTATCTATCTGCTTTCTGTTCATTGTGTGCATTTAGGGTTTAAAAATATTTAAAAAAATTTAAATGTGATAAAATCAATGCCTAACCATAATGTGTGGTGTCACCTCACCCACACTCATCTGTCTGAAAAATTCTGATAATTCAAAGCTCTTGATACTTCAAACAAAATTCAGAGGTCCCTTTGAGTTTGAATTAACAAGAGTCGACTGTACAGTTGAACCCCTTTATATAAGAGGCATGCTCCAGGCAGCGGTTCTTGTCTTTTATATATGATGTTTATTATAAGCAGGGTACCACATATGCATTTTCCTATCAACCTGTATTTTACTGTAGGCACACTGGTGTATCCTATATACCCATTTGTCTCATATCAGTGTCTCATATAAAGGGGTTCGATTGTACCTGATGCACGTGAGCTAAGTGCAAGGGTGATAAAATAAACTATAAACAAAGTAGCAGCAAGTTTTACAGGAACACTCGTGAATATACACCTGCATGTGGTACTGCTGCAGAGCTTGTTGATTTTTGGCTTTCAGTTTATTTTAATGGCCTTATTCTGTGGCAGAAATACTTGTGATTTGTGTCAGGGACATCTTTGTGTGCTGCTTTAAAAAATAGCAGTAAGAAGTTTGTGCTTTTCCTCATCATTTCTTTGTCTGCTATGAACTTTTTGCACTGAAACTGTAACGTTAAACTGTTGCCTGCGAAAAGGAGAGTGGGATGAAAAAACCTCTAACGAATACAAGCTTTCAAAAAGTTCAAACAGCTGTGCAGAATTTGTGACCTTGATGCCTCTCACATGTTTTGGTACAAAGAAAGAAGGGATAAGCTTGTCAAATGTATAGAATCGTTTGTGTGTAGCCATGGCTGGGCTAGACGACTGTGCATGCGCTCGCTTCTTACGGCCTTTGCGTCTGATCTAGTTCTTCCCTCTCATCTATGCTTTGATGGAGCTGCTGTGACCCTGACCCTATTTTAACGGTCCCTGCAGCACACACAACGCTGGCTCACGAGTTCGAGTGCACCTCTTCAGTCAGCACATGTTGGAGAACTTTCCTAATAGTAAAATATGCATTAATGGTTCACCTAGATTTCTTATGCAACCGCAATGCGTTTATGTAACTGCATTGGGGAAATGTATAGATACAAGCCCCCGAAGTTATAGCCATCCGCCACTAAACGAGTAGGTATTTTGAAAAGTGAAACTAAATATTTATTGCTCATGTGAGCACTGGCAATAGTTGAAAAACCGTTGGGCAAAAACTTCTGCAGACGTCTTGAATGTCTTATTCACACCCTAATGCGCTTGCTATCCAGCTTTTGTGTGTAGAGGGAAGGCTTATTCAGCCAAGTGCAATTCATATTCAACCTCGTTACAGCCAAGCTTGCCTAAATACTGTGATTAATAAGCGTGAGACCACTGATCTTCGCTGTGTACCAAGCTTTTCACGGATTAGTGCAAGCTTTGAGCCATCTTTTTCTTGCTCCCTTTCTCCCTGTGCAATTATTTTTAACAATTTTATATATACTAATTCACATGTTTCAAAAATCTAGCAAACCAAAAGGGTGCTCGTAATTTCTTAGACGACTGTCCTACAAGGCCAAAGAACTAAGGGCACCAAACGCTCTCTACTTGCACGACAGGTGTTAGAAACACATGAGGCGGGCTCTAAACGACTATTTTAATCGGTGTTTCTGTAAAAAAAGAAAACAATGCACAGTGTTGTTTATCTCTCCTCACGATAGTTGCTTTATGCCACTTTAGCCACTGATCCTTCCGCATACTCTTGGAGTTTCACCTTGTATTATCCACAAGCACATGTCGATCTATGATGTGCTGGGAGCTGTCTGAAAACAATAATTTCTTAAAGCAAGACTGTCTTCCCTCCACTCCCAACTTGAGTAATCCTGGCAATATGCCTAAAATAGCCGCTTACCCACTATAGACTATTTGTCATTTGACTTTATTTTTTCCTTGCATACAAATTTGTTTGCGTTCAGCTGGTTACCTTCTATCACTTGTACTTTACCAGTCTGCTATTCTTGTGTTCGGGGTTCTTGGCATTGAAATCTTCTGTTCAGTTGATGTGTAATGAATGCGCCCCAGGTATGGCTTCAACAGCGTGGGCCACCAGAAGGCGTGGTCTTTCCTGAATGACAGCCGTTCTGCCTGGCATGGCCTCGTGGGTGTCAACCTGGGTCGCAACAAGGAGAGCGCGGATGTGCACGCCGACTATGTGGCGGGAGTCCACCGCTTCGCTGACCTGGCTGACTATCTGGTCGTGAACGTGTCCAGCCCAAACACTCCGGGCCTGCGAACACTGCAAAGACGGCACCAACTCAAGGATCTGCTGCTCAAGGTAAAGCCATGGCACTTCCGCATCACCGCACACTCCTTAGCTATGACCGTGGAAAAAAAAAAACTGTTGTGCTTTGACAGTGCTAACTCTCCCAATTTGGTTGGCACACTACCAAATTTTGCCAAAATGTACAGGCATGGTCCATCATGCCAAAATGTACAGGCATGGCTATAACTCTCTCTTACAGCCCTAACCCTAACGTGAAAAGGAAAGAACAAAGTATGGCACTTCTACGTTTTTCTACTCTTGGTTTATTGTGTGTGAAATGCTGAAGTCACTTTTGCTTAGAGGTGTGCGAATAGAAAAATTTTGGGTGCAAAGTATTTCGAATATTGAAGTGCGAGTGCAAATCAAATAGATTATTTTTTGGTTATTTCCCAAGTATTTCTAGAATACTTTTTGAGTACCTTAAAGTTATGTTGAAGAAAAAATATTGGAGAGGATTCCTAATCATATTCTTATGAGATAGAAACATAAAAGTGTTTCTTTTTGCTAGGTTGAAGAGCTGCCAGGTTGGTGTTTCATAGTTGTCTCATGATTCACATGAACGAGGCAATGCAGAGACCGAATTGTATTTATGTTCATGATTTAGTTTTGCCAAAGTGTTGCTGACCCCACTTTACCTGCAAAAGGCAAAGATGCTTTTTCCTCAGCCACTCCTCTTCTTGCAGTTTCCATGGAAACCAAACTGATGTGGCAAACAAGGTTGTGCTCCCTCCGGGTTAGGGCATCCCTAATGTGCCTCGTAGATGTCAACATGCAAGAACATCTGAAATTCAGGATGCTGAAAATCTTTGACGTGTGATTTTTCGAACTTCCTGCCCAAATTTTAGGTCTGGAACAATATTGAGCCCCCACCTCTGCCCCATCAATCGTCTCCGTGTTGGAACTGATGTTTTCTTGGGTCAATACTAGCCTTGTGTGAATATTCCTATGCTTTGAATATTCGAACGAATAGTAGAGTATTCGAATTCGCTTCGATTTGAATTTATATTATTGAATATTTCGAAGTATTCGATATGAACGTGTGGATAACATAACTTTAATGTTTCCGCACAGAAGGTTCTACAACGACTGCCCCTGAATCGGGGCACACACACAGTTTTCTTGCTAATTTCGGGCGAGAGTGTTCTTATCGCTGGCACCCGTGTTTGGAGGCATCGCCGCGATGTGCAGGCACAGAAGCGGCGCCAACCCGTTTCGCCTCCCCCCTCCCCCCCCACGCAGATAGGAGCCGTCAGGGTTGAAGAGGTTTGGGGACCCGCACCTGGCGTCCAAGGCGGGTGGTGTAGGGTGCGAGCCTAGGCGTTGCGGGCTGTTGTCGGCGAATTACGGGAGGCGTGCGGGGGTTGGTAGGCTCCTGGGAAAGGATGTATGATGGCTTTAGGGGGTCGATGAAAACGCATACATCCTTTCCACTGATTTGCAGGGTGAATGTTTTGTCGTCGCGACAGATGACTTAGTAAGGTCCGGAGTAAGGCGGCTGGAAAGGTGCGCGTACGGTGTCGTCACGGAGGTAGGCATGCGAGCATGTTGCCAGGTCCTTAAACACGAATGGGGTCGGCTTGGTGTGGTGAGCCGCCAAAGAGGGGCGCAGCACGCCCATTGTGCGACAGAGTCGAGCGACGAAGTCTGCAGGGTCCGAGCTGGTTACATCAGAGGTCGCAGCGGAGAGGAGTTCTCCAGGTAGGCGAAGCGGCTCTCCGTAGACAAGTTCCGCGGGCGTGGCTTGAATGTCTGGCTTGAAAGTTGCGCGCAGACCGAGAGCGACGGCGGGAAGAGCTTCGAGCCAGGTTGAGTGAGGGTGGCACATAATGGCTGCCTTGAACTGCCGGTGAAACTGTTCAATCATCCCGTTGGCGCAAGGGTGGTAGCTAGTTGTCCGTGAACGCTCGAACCCGGTGGAGAGCCCGAGGAGCCTGAAGAGTTGAGATTCGAATTGCCTTCCTTGATCGGTGGTGACTCGATGAGGAGTGCTGAAGCGTGAAACCCAGCCGGAGAAGAAGGCTGATGCGACGTCTTCTGCGGTGATCCTTTCGAGCGGCCACATCTCGGGCCAACGAGTGTAATGATCGATGGCGGTGAGGCAATAGCGGTAAGGGCCGGCTGGTGGAGGGGGCCAATGATGTCGATGTGGACGTGCTGGAACCGTTCCGTCGGGAGGGGGAATTCTCCAAGTGGCGACGTGACGTGCCGGGTGATTTTGGCGCGCTGGCATTGAATGCATGTGCGTGCCCAGGTGCGGCAGTCCTGTTGCATTGAGGGCCACGCGTACCGGTCAGTCACGAGGCGTGTAGAAGCTCGGATGCCGGGATGACTGAGGTTGTGTAACTGCTTGAAGAGGCTTTGGCGATGCAAAGAAGGGACGTATGGTCTCACTCGTCCTGTTGATATGTCATAGTAAAGAGCGTCCGTTGACCCAGGGATGGTAACTTTTTGAAGTTGAAGGGAAGATCCATTCTCGAGGAGCTGCTGGAGTTCGGTGTCCGTTTTCTGAGCTTCGGCGAGGGCGCCAGTTGTAACGGTTGGTAGCGCGACAGCCGAGGCGCGAGAGAGTGCGTCGGCGACCATGTTTTCCTTTCCGCTGATGTGGCAGATATCTCTGGTGAATTGAGCGATGAAGGACAGCTGGTTCTGCTGGACCGGTGGAAGTTTTTCGCGGCGTTGTGAGAAGGCGTAAGTGATAGGTTTATGGTCGGTGTATAAGGTGCAGTGCTGTGCCTCGAGGATGTGGCGAAAGTGTTGGACTGCTTCGTAGATGGCAAGAAGCTCTCTGTAGTAGGCTGGCCAGGTCGTCTCCGCAGGGGGCGAGGTTGCATCGCCGATGCTGCTGGAAGGCGGGGGCGGCTTCGGGGAAGAGAGTTTCTTCGAGAAGAACGCCAAGGGGCGCCAGTTGTTTCCGACACGCTGCATGAGAGAAGCTCCGACGGTGGTGCTAGGCGTTTGTGAAAAGACCCAGGGGCGCCTCTGGCTTGAGATGGGAGAGCAGCGTAGCGTTGCAGAGGGCAGTTTTGCAGTCTTCGAACGCTTGCGTTAAGGCTGGGGTCCAAGTGACAGGATGGTTGCCGTGTTGGCCGGCCAACGCATCATGGAGAGGGACCTGATATGTGGCCACTTTAGGAACGAAGCGCGTGTAAAAGTTGAACATGCCCAAGAAACGGCGGAGGTCCCTCGCTGTGGCAGGCAGCGCGTGATTTTGCAGGGGTGGATGCGCTCAGGCAGGGGTCTAGTTCCTTCTGAAGAGATTTCATGGCCAAGAAACGTGACGACGGGGGCGCCGAGCGTGCTCTTCTGAACGTTTATGAGTAAGCCGTGTTCGTCGAGACGCTGGAACAGTTGACGAAGGTGTTGGCGATGTTCCATTTCGTTGCGGGAGAAGATCAAGATGTCGTCTAGGTAGACAAAAGAGAAGTCCAGGCCGCGGACGTAGTCGTCGATGAAGCGTTGAAAGGTTTGCCCCGCGTTGCGGAGACCAAAACTCATGAAAGGGAATTTGAATAGACCGAAAGGCGTGATAATTGCGGTCTTTGGGACGTCATCCGGGTTTACAGGAATTTGTGTGTAGGCCTTTACGAGGTCCACCACTGAGAAGATAGTGCTGCCGTGTAAGCGGTGTGCAAAGTCCTGTATATGACTGACGGGGTACCCGTCGGGGATGGTGCGGGCGTTGAGGGCGCGATAATCTCCGCGGGGGCGCCAGCCATTGGTCTTCTTTGGTATCAGATGAAGCGGTGAGGCGTAAGGTCCCTCCGAGTGGCGGACAGTACCTTCGCGGAGCATGGCTTCGAATTCGGCCTGTGCGATTCTTAGGCGGTCCGGGGCTAGCTAGTAGTACGAATGTAGTGCACAGTTGAGTGGCGCACCTCTCGCGGACGCCCGCTAGGTCGAGTCAGGTCGGGAAACTCTGCGAGGATGTCATGGTATGGCGACTGGTTCCAAATGGTGAGTGCCTTGTTAGGCTGTTGGGTGGTCGCACGTTGGCCCGGCGTGGAGAGGCCTGTTGTAGCGTCGATAAGTCGGTCATATCGGCAGTCGGGTAGAAGATTGTAGTACGCCAAGAAGTTGGACCCGATGATCGGCTCTGCGACGTCGGCGATGACGAAATTCTGTGGAAAATCTCGACACAGGTTTTTGAAGTTGATGTTAAGGCGGAGCGAGCCGTAGGTCTTGATGGTCGAATGGTTCGCCCCGCTGAGCTCAAAGGACGTGCAAGGACGCTTGTCACGCAGGAACGTTCGGGCAAAGCAACAGATGTCGGAGTCACAGTCGAGGAGGAACCGCCGCTTTGTGACTTGGTCGGTGACGAATATGCGACGACCTCTAAGTTGGCAGCTCGCGGCCGTCTCTACGGGCTGCCGTTGAAGTTTCCCTGACGTCCAGCTGAGCGAGGTGGTTGACATTTCCGGGATTTGTCCCCGAAGCGGCGATGGTAGTAGCAGGGGCCGTTATCATTTCCGTGCGATGAAGCGGCGTTGTTGTCTTGGCTTTGGGAGCGTTTTTGTGGACGCAGCTTCGGTCTTTGATCCAGGCGCCTTTGAATTGAGTCCAGCTGACGGGTGATTTCGTCGACACAACGCGTGAGCTCGCTGCTGGACTGTCGGGTGTCAACGGCGTTGACGGTGAGAGGCAATGCTGGCAACGCAATCTCGACGACTTGATCAGCGATGTGAGAGAGCTGGTCCAGCGGCAGATTCGGCTGCACCTGGAGGATGGCCTGCGTATGTGAGGGTAGACGCTGAAGCCAGATGATACGGAAGAGGGAGTCGTCGACTGGGGTGCTGCCCAAGAGGTCACGCATGTAACGCTGGAGCTGCGATGGCTTGTGGTCACCGAGTTCTTCGTGCTGGAGTAGGTGATGCACCTTCTCGTCTTATGAAGGTGAAAGCCGGCGGATCAGTTCCCTCTTCAGGTGTAGGTAACGGTCATCAGCCGGGGGATTCGCAAGCATATCGCGAACCTCAGCCGCATAGCGGGAGTCTAGATGGGCGATGACGTAGTCA